GTGCAGGGAGGGGCTGGGTGGGGAGGGGAGGGTAAGGAGGGGCTGGGTGGGGAGGCAGGGGATGGGCTGGGTGGGGGGTGGGAGGGGTGGGGCTGGGTGGGGAGGGGCTGGTCACCCCGTGGTGACCTTATGAAACTCAACGTTTAACCTACTCACGCCGGCTTGTGCCCGCCCTCACAGTCGGGCATATTTGCGGGATACACCACGCCGCCGTTGACCCTGGCCATTGACCGAACAACCCAACGTTCCTACCAGCTCCCTCCGCGGGAATGTGTTGCGTATACAGTCGGTCGCCCATCAGAGCATTATCCGGGCTCAACGCTGCTTAGCTCTCTGCTATCTGACGAGTTTGGGCGCATTCCCCTGCGACTCGGTCTTACACGCGTGTCAATGCAAGGAGCCGCTGTTTCGGGCCACGGCCCTTTATCAGAAGAGGTTTATAAGCGCTGTGCTTTATAGACATCCAGTAAATGTGGTTGAGGAATAGTGGCTTCATTTACCCATCTTGTGCCACAACAAACAGGTAGTTTTTAAAGACACATTATGGTTTGTGTTAGATTGAACCGACAACATCTGGAAACCCGGCAGCATTCTTGGACCGAGCTTGACTCGGCTGATGAGACCCGAAACGTCGGGAGCCAGTTCAGAGTTTGCTGCTAAAAATGCTGCTGGGCATTACCGGTGTTGAAAATTGATTGGCTGATGGTCAACAACAACAACAGCAACAACAACAGCAACAACAGCAACAACAGCAAAACCCCGCATGTGCTACTTTGTTGAATAGACCGATGCAAGTCACGTGTATTCATTTAAATTCCGCTTCGCCGTGACTTCACTCGCAGTCAGTGGTTAGACTTGAAGTCACGAGGAGCCTCATTCGGCACGGAGTGTCTCTCTCAAAAAGTGGCTCCTTTGTCCAAACCCTGAACTAGCATGTTTCATTTATATATTTAAAAGTATGCACTGCAAGCACTTCAATTAATATATAATATAGCTATTGATGAAAGTGGTCAAATATTCCGAGCGAGGGCTTATCCGCTCTCGACAATGCGATCCATTGACTTGCATGCGGTAGCTCTGAATTGACGTAACGTGGCCTTGAGTAATGAATGTATTTCGCACAGATGCGTTAATGAGATTTTGGTGGTGGGTGTGGATGTGTGGGTGTGTGGATGTGGGCAGCGGTGGTGTAGCGGTTGGCGCGCTATGCTACAAACCCCGGCGACCCGAGTTCGAATCCCGCTCACGGCCAACACCCAGTGACGATTATCTGAACTGGTCTCGAGCCTCCCATGGGTCGACTCAGCCTCAAATGAGTACCTGGTGCGGTGTGTAAACATTGCCACGAGGGAGACAAAGGCGGCCGCGCGTGGTGCTTGCCACCCCCACCCCCTCGTGTGCCGTGTCAGCTATCATAGATACTCGCTAACAGCACATGCCCCGAACGTCTGTTAAGGCTACACGGGGGGTCTTTGTGTGTATGTTCGTGAGTGGGTTGAGTGGATGAGTGCGTAAGTGTGTGGGGGGGGGGGGGGGCTGGTTGCTTGATTTAGTGTGTGGGCGTGTTGGTGGGATGAGTGTGCAAGGCGAGTGTGTGCGAGTGGATGGGTTGGCCGCGTGACTGTGTGTGTGTACGTACGAATATGTATGGTTGGGTGGGGAGCGGTAGTGCAACGGTTAGCGCACTGCGATATGCACCCGGCGACCCGGGTTCGGTTCCCGCTCACGGCCAACACCGGTGACGATTATTTGAACCGGTCCTGGGCCTCCCCTAAGTCGACTCAGCCTCAAATGAGTACCTGGTGCGGTGTGTAAACATCGCCACTGGGGAGGCAAAGGCGGTCGGGCGTGATGCTGGCCACCCACCCCCTCGTGTACCGTTCCGGTCTTCATAGATGTTTGCTAACAGCACTTGCCCCTACCGTCTGTTAAGGCTATACGGGGATCTTTGTCTTTGTACGAGAATGTATGTATGGATGTGCGAGTCCGTGTGTAGGTGGGTGTGCGGATGAAATGGTCGTTTGGTTGACTGTGCGAGTGTGTGGGTGGGTCGCCCGTGTGTCTTGTCTATTTGACCGAGTGCGTGAATGGGCTCGTGGGTGGAGTCGAGAAATGCATTGGATTGACATCTCGTACGTTGGTGACTCGACCATTGATTCTCTCAAACGATCGTATCATACACTCACAACTAATCAAGGCTCATTTGGCATCGCGCTGCGAAACAAAGGGTCACTTCAGAACTATAGCAGAGCAGCGATGCAACAGCCCACGTGTTAGAGAACGGCTTGTGGAAGCATATATCGTAGAACTACTTCCGAGTCTTCTTATCAACACGAGGGGCGGTGCATAATTAAGTCCATCGCATGTCAGACCAACCGATGTGTTTATATTCTGAGAGCTGGACTGTATTTTTTTTAGCAAAGTTAAGAATCAAATTCATCACGATGATTTGTTCTTGTGACCGAGACAACCAACTAGTTTCACCGGAGAACCCGATTTCATCAAAAAGGAATTGATCACTCATTGCGTCCGAGTGATAACGAACCATGCAATATGCGTGGCTCAATTAACTTCATGCCAAGCTGCATAGGGGGGGGGGGGGGGGTGGCACACTTATGGGCAAATCACCATACTACTTCACACAAGTTAGGGTGCGGTCCCACAATTTATTTCTGCCGGTTGAAGAGCCTCCGCTAGAGCAGCGCTTTGGAAAGCCATTTTAGACTCTAGAGAGCATTTGGCCTAATCCTCCATGCATGGTGGGCAGACGTCTTGGAAGAGGTCAGAGTACCCAGACTTTTCCAAATCACAAGCGACTTACCCATCGAACAACTGTGGTGTCCCTACTCATGCTGCTTGGTGGACAGAGGTATGTGTGTGTGTGTGGGGCGAGTGTGTGTGTGGGGGGGGGGGTGTGTGGGGGGGGGGGTGTGTGGGGGGCGCTAGGGTGGGTGGGGGAAAGAGTGGGGTGCGGAATTAAGAAAATTGCCCACCTATTCAACTGCCGCGCCTGGAGATCAAACCGACGACCCCAGCGTGTGCACGTGCGTTAACCATTACACCAGGAGAAGCACCCCCCCCCCCGCAGGTATAAATCTACACCCCTTGCGAGCGCTCATCCCGCAGCAAGGTCCCGAGCCAGTTGACGAAACGCACACCAGGAGGTCGGAGTTCACCAAAAAATTGAATGTAATCCCGATGGAAAGGGGACATTGGCCAACGACACTTGAATCGGACCCCGATGTCTTTACTTTCTCGAGGTGGAACCCAATTACGGGAATATTTAATCTCCATCTGTCAAGGTCGACGGCTGTTTCAAGGTAACGGCTCTGAGCGGCCTTCATCCCACAGTGGCTGACGACGACGACGATGATGATGATGTTGTTTATTATGATTTGTCAAGGTCGGCCCGGGTAACTGTATTTCAAAACATTGTCACCGCTATTTATTTATTTATTTACCCAGGAAAGTGGCCTCCGTCGCACTTGGCGTATTTGGGCAATGTCCTTTCAACGCGTTGCATTCAAAAGTTGGTTCGCAACGGCCTTCTCTTGTTGTTGACATAGTGCCTCGCCACTTTGCCGCAGACAATGCACCTCTTTAAATTGCGACCCACTGCAATCATTTTACATCAACGCCCATCGACTGCAACTCGAAATCTAACCGTCGACTCGGTACTCACTGGTCGGAGGTGGTGGAACATCCATTTGTAGTCAAGGGTGTAAATGACTCATCGGTTAAATGCGATTAACACCCACACTTAAGGCTCACGATACACACACACACACGTTTGATGTTTGAAAATAGTATGCAAATGCGTGATGATGTCTGCATTTGGGCAACGCCTTTGTAGAAACGAGATGGAATGTACGTGATGCGCTACACGCGCCTGATGATCGCTCTACGCGTAGCATAGGAGACGCGACTCCAGCTGTCAGTCTGAATTCAAATCTGTGCCACGTGCGTCACGCGGTCCGCACGCGCAGACACACAAGACAAAGATCTTCCGTGTAGCCTCCGACACACAGTTGGGGCAAGTGCCATTGGCGAGCACCTGTGAAGGCCGGCACAGCAGACGCAGCGAGCGGGTGGCCAACACCACGCCCGAGCGCTTTTGTCTCCCCAGTGCTGATCTTTTACGCATCGCACCAGGGTCACAATCGGAGTAATTATTGAGGCTGGAGGAATCCGAGGAGCTGTAAAGCTCTTTTTCCCCCACAGATGTCCAGTAGCTGGGCAGCTAATTGTCGATGATCATGTTCACACGACGTCGCGCCTCGAACCGGCGCTCAGTCGCACGTGGGACGCGTTTATCAATCATCAGACGGGTGCAACACAGGCGTGGGTGGCTTAAACAAGAACCCGCTCGAGACGAATCGCGTTGGCCGTGTCGCGAGTACTGACGAAACCCGTTTAGGGCTCACGAACCAACGAAATCAAACGCGCTATTAGCCCGACTCAACACACACACTTGTTCGAGCCGTAACACCTGCCTCTAAGTGGCTGACGAGTTTGTGAATGGTTTTCAAGTGCGCTCTCGCACCTTGACGCGCAGCTCACACGCACACAGCAATACAAAGCTCCCCCGCATAACCTTAACAGACTTTTGGGGCAAGTGCTGTGAGCGAGTAGCACCTATGAAGGCCGGCACGGCACACGGCGAGGGTAGGGGGAGGGTGAGGGGGGGCTGCCATCACAACGCCCGGCCGCCTTCGTCTTCTCGGTGCTGATTGGAGAAGCGGTAGTGTATCGGTTCGTTGCTTGCGCCACGAACCCGAGTTCGATTCCGGCTCACGGCCACCGACGCCAGTGACGACTCGTCTCAAACCGGTGATGCGCCTCCCCTAGGTCGCCTCAGCCTCAAACTGAACACCTCGTGCGACGCGTATACACGCCCACATACGGCTCATGAACACACACGCACACGCGCACGCGCGCACACACACACGCGCACGCGCGCACGTGCGCACGCAACAATGGGATCCCGGGTAGAGACTCACCTGCAGGCAGTCGGGCAGGTGCAGCTCGGCATCCTCCTCGGCAGCCTCCACCGCTCTCCTCTCTCCAGATGCAGCCGCAGCCGCCGCAGCCGCAGCCGCCGCAGCGAACGCTTGCCGCCCCCTCCTGAAACAATGCACGGCGGCGATGAGCAAGTGGTGTAGCACCAGCACCATGGCTCTCCGTGCCCGTGGCCACCCCCCACGCGCTCCGTGCGCGCACGACGCCGCTCGCCAAACGGCGGGGTCTGCACGTCTCGTGCGCAGACTACCCCCGGCTCGCTACGCCTCTTCCTCCTGCCCCTAGTTTTCTATTCCTGCTGACAACCCCCCCCCCCCCCCCCACTAAACCCACCACCACCGCCGCCTTCAGTGAACGTCTCTACGGTACCCCCTTACCAACCCCCCCACCCCCGGTCCTCATCCCTCGAGGGCACCCGCTACCCCCTCGCTGTGCGCAGTGGCTAAGAGCGGAAGGCGCTCGCTGAGCTACGCGGAGGTGGTTGGACAGCGGAGAGGAGACGCGAGAGGAGCAGCAGCAGCAGCAGCGCGCATGGTTCGGTGTGAGCGAGGTCGAGTTTCATTTTCGCGTCTCGGTCCCGGTTAAATACGAAACGTGCTGACGTCACTGCTGGGCCGGGCGAGCCAGGGCGAGACTCGTCGTAAAACCACTCCTCCTCCTCCTCTCTTCCATCACCCCCCCCTCCTCCGCATGTCTCTCCACCTCTGCACCCTACCTCCTCACTCCACCTTCACTCCATCTCTCTACACCGCACTCCACTGCATCCATCAATAACCCCCCCCCCCCCCGCTGCTGCTCCAAACCCCTCACTATCTCCTCACCACCTCCTACCCCCATCCCTTCACTCAATCTCTTCAACCCCACCCACCCCGCCGCTCCTCCACTCCATATCTTCCCCACCATCCATCCCTTCGCTCCGTCTCTCCCCTCTGAAGCGCTCAGCTCGCGGCGGGCACGTGGACCGCGCGCTGACAGACTCACGGACACGCGCGCGCGCAACAGCTCACGCGCGCGATGCGTGAGCCGCCAAGCAGCACGGAGGCGCACGGACACGCGAGCCTGCAGACGGACAGACGCGCTGACCGCACGCGCGAAATACGAAGGTCCCCCGTGTGGCCTTAACAGACCGCCGGGGGCAAGTGCTGTTAGCGAGTAGCACCTACGAAGGCCGGAGCAGTACACGAGGGGGTGGGTGGCCAGCACCACGCCCGGCCGCCTTTGTCTCCCGAGTTACGATGTTTGCACACAGCAACAGGTATTCATTTGAGGCTGAATAAACCTAGGGGAGGCCCAGGACCGGTTCAGATAATCGTCACTGGTGTCCAGTTCGGGTCGCCGGGTTCGTAGCGCAGCGCGCTAACCGTTGCACTCCCACTCCCCACACGCACATACTCACAGACACACACACTCAGACACAGACACACACACAGACACACTCTCAGACACGCTCAGACACACACACTCTTACACACAGACACACACTATCACACACAGACACACACTCTCAGACACAGACACACACACAGACACATTCACACACAGACACACACACAAACACACACAGACACACACTCGCACACGCATTCACACACGCATTCACACACAGACACACACACACAGACACACACACTGACACACACACACACACTGACACACACACAGACACACACTCGCACACGCATTCACACACGCATTCACACACGGACAGGCGCGCCAATGCAAAGCCGCCTCTCGTGATTCACCCAGAAGTTTCCACGGGGGAGGGAGTGGTGAATGAGTGGATGCAGGTGAATGAGTGGATGCAGCTGAACGGGATGTATTCGTTAGGAAATCTCCATCGCTGTAATAATTATTTTAAAATTATTAAATCAATAATGATCATCTCCATAAATAGCATCATCATATTACAAAATAAACTATCATTGCTATCAGAATCAATACATTAATGACTAATAATCATTCAATGGATCAAAAAACCAACAGCATCAACAATCTATGGGATATTTTTGGTAAAAAAAATTTTTATTGAGCATTAACAAATTAATAAATAATTTTCATCATCGAATGAATCAATCAGCCATTATTACCATCATCATCATCCAATGGGGAAATAAATCTACGACATTCCATTGACATTCTCATACATTAAATAAATAAATCCACGACTATCACAATTTATTAACAGCATCATCATCAAATCAATCAGCAGCCTTTTGCACCACTACATGAATAACATAAATCACGACGATCAATACATCGATCAGGATAAAATCAATAAAAAGAATTATTTATCAACCGCAAGTCTCCGTGGACAACATCCAGAAACACGTGAACACGCCCTATTCTCTCCACATGCCTTTGCCTGCGTGTCTCGATTTGCTGATCTACGCGTGCGTGTTTGTGCCTGTGCGCATTGTCGGCGTATGGTTATGAAATGGCGATGCGAGTCGAGAAATCACAAACGAGAGGGAAGGCAGCGGCCATGCGGCCATGCGGCCATCCGGCGCCAATAATTGCCAAAGCTCTGCGATCCTCTATATATTCAGGTGTTGTGTTGTCTGCCTATGGTTATGAAATGGCGATGCGTGTCGAGAAATCACAAACGACAGGGAAGGCAGCGGCCATGAGGTTATCTCACGCCAACAATTGCCCAAGCCCTGCAGTCCTCTATATAGCGAGATGCTATCGGCCAATTAATGCGCGTTTTACAAGCGAAAGATAAACCTGCATGAACTGTAGAAATCAACCACTAATTCTTGTAAAAACGAATGATTGCGCGCAGCGATCCAAACCCACGTGGTCCAAGTCGCATCAACACGTGGCAACCCACGCCTCGCTTCACGCCCACTGCCCCACCCATCCCGCCGTGCCTGTCGCCTCGTCTTCCCAAGTTCCCCCAGAAATGACGCCCGGCCGCTTTTGTCTTCCCGGTGCCGCTGTTTTTACCCAAATCGTTACCGGGTATTCAAAACACAGGGACGCCACGGTGGCGAGATGTTTACTACCTCGCCTGGTATGCAGGAGGTCGTGGGATCGATCCCGACCCCCTGATGCCCGCTGTATATTTGAAGTTTGCGTGTCTCTCTCCCTGTGGCCACGTGGATTTTTCTCCAGGTCCTCCAGATGTTTCCTCCACTTAAAAAAACGCGCGTTTAGAGCATTTAGCTCCTATAACATGTCCACATGATAAACCACTTCGTTGAGCTATCATTTGTGGCCAGGTTGCTTCTGAAAAAGAGCTACACATCTCAGTGGGCCTTGTAAAATAAAAATAGCTTTAGTTTCGTTTATTTATCGGCGTAAGGCACTACCACGAGAGTGCAATCTATGCCTGCCCATAATAATCGTTAATTATAGTGCTCGAAATTTGCATTGGTCTGTAAACCGATGTATACACAATTATGACGCCCAAATGAGGCGAGATGGATGTGGCAGTGGCAAAATAATTCCCCGGGACAGCGATGCGGAGTGTCCTGGCTAAAGTTAAACATTGTGCATAGTGACGGGGAGACAGAGACATGAATAAGTAGCAGTGCAAATTTAATGACGCGTGAAGATGTGTGTACAGTAATTGTATAGCATGCATGTGCAATGCTGAAGGGCCATTGCCCGAAACGTTGTCACTCGCGCACGTTCGCGTCTCACTGCGAGGTCTGCGGGGAACGCTTGGGGGGGGGTCACGTGGTGAGTATTTGTGTGTTCTTTTTTATCATTCACGCGGCAGACTGCAAAAGGCTGAAGTGAAATTTCCTTAACAAAAAAAAACACCCGCAGGTTCCTGCTGATTAAAATGTGGAAGTACACCAATTGACTTCTCATTTTTAAACATCGGGTATCATAATTTAACCACACAGACAAAGGTGCCCCCCCCCATATAGCCTTAACAAGGCTGTTGGGGCAAGTGCTGATAGTGAGCACCTATGAAGGCCGGCACGGGCACACGAGGGGGTGTGGGTGGCCAGCACAATGCCCAGCTGCCTTTGTCTCCCGAGTGGCAATGTATACACACCGCACCAGGCACTCATTTGAGGCCGAGTCGGCCTAGGAGAGTCCCAGGATCGGTTTCAGGTCATCGTCACTGGTGTTGGTAGCCGTGATCGAGAATCGAACTCGGGTCGCCGGTTCCGTTAGCGCATCGCGTTAACCGCTGCACTACCGCTCCCCGCGTCGTAAGACGGGCACACGAAGGCAGCATCTTGTTATTTTCCTGCTGTATTTTCAAATGTTCTTATAATCGTGCTCAATCGAAGAAACGCATTCACTCTTTATCCAGCGGCATGTCAAGTCACGTTCGTTGCTGGCTGTTTGGCCCACTTGGATCTTTTGGGGGGGGGCTCTCTGCGAGAACAAACCGAAAGACAATGAGTTCCTCCAGGTTCTTGGCGCTCACGACGACAAATTCAGTGACTGCCCCCCAAAACCCTCAAAGGGAGCCAGGGCCCTCTTGAAAATGTCAGCTTAAGACCGCCAAATCACTCCGCCGGCCAATTGCCCCGATGCAGGGATATTGCAACATTTCATCACGTGGAGGAAAACAAATCCATCTCCCGTCAGTCTCGGTACAACAATGGACGAAGGCCTGACTTGCATCGTGTCGGCAACGGCGGCGGCGAGTGGGGGGGGGGGGGTGTTTGACCATACTTCACCACACTGGTCGGTGCGGTTCAGATCGCCACTCGCCACCGGTGTGTGCCGTGGGTCGGAGTCGAACGCAGGTCGTCGGGTTCACAGCGCCGTGCGCTAACCACTGCGTCACCGCTGCCCTAACGCTACCACGTGTGTATGTATACAAAAAATGTTGCCACGTGCGCGGTCCCCCCACTTCTTACAACCGCCACGAAGCTTCTCCTAATCTTCTTGTCGACAGGTGCTCACGTCCACTCACTCACAGCACTGTCGTAGGGCAGCTGCAGGGAAGAGGCTTGCAGAGAGCAGGGGTGGGAGGGGCCGGGTATTTTAAATTCCGCCAGGCATGCCCCCCCTCCATCCCTCCAATTCCACAACCCAATACGTGTTGCACATTTGTATACACAGGGCTTACATTTCTCACCCACCGGCATGCTACTATAATGACAATAGAGCCTGCATGCGGTGTGTGGGGACTA